GTAACCTTAAGACGCTCTTCACGTCAAGGATTTTTCTTCTTATCACCGACCTTAAAACACTCTTCACGTTAACAATTTTTCCTCTTATCACCGGCCTTAAAATGTTTTTCACGTCAAAGATTTTTCTTCTTGTTGTCTACCTTAAAATGCTTTTTACATCAATGATTTTTTACCTTGTCGTCGACCTTAAAACGTTCTTTACATAAAAAATTTCTCTTCTTGTCATTGACCTTAAAATGATATTCACGTCAGGATTTTTCTTCTTGTCGCTAACCTTAAAACATTCTTTACATCAAGGATTTTTCTTCTTTTCGCTAACCTTAAAACGCTCTTCATATGAAGGATTTTTCTTCTTGTTACCGATCCTAAAATGTTCATGTTAAGGATTTTATCTTGTTGTTGACCTCAAAACGCCATTCATATCAAGCATTTTTTATTTTTGTCGTCGACCTTAAAACACTATTAACATCAATGATTTTTCCTATTATCCCCGACCTTAAAGTGCCACTCACCTCAAGGATTTTTCTTCTTATCACCGACTTTTAAACACTCCTCACGTCAAAGATTTTTCTTTTGTTGTTAACCTTAAAACCCTCTTTATGACAAGGATTTTTCTTGTCGCCAACCTTAAAATGCTCTTCATGTCAAACATTTTTACTCTTGTCATCAACTTGAAAACACCATTAACATCAATGGTTTTTCCTATTGTCACCGACCTTAAAACACCCTTCATATCAAGAATTTTTCTTCTTGATGACAATCTTAAAATGTTCCACACCAAAGGTGTAAATAGGAAGTCGATTCAAGGTATGCTACCTCCATCCAAGGTTTGTAGCTCATACATCCTATTGCTGACAACCCTTAAAACCTTGTATGGGCCAACCCATTTTGGGGATAACTTATTCCATAGCTAATACAATTGGACTTTTTTCAATGCCAAGTCTCCTTCCTAAAAGGTCCTTCATAATACCTTTAAGTTGTATTTCCATTTTGCATGTGTCTTTCCTATTTTGTTGTCTCATCGTAAGATCTCCATCATGGATCTGATTGTCTAGAGGGTAGGATTGTTATCTATAGCCTCAAGATCCTCTCTCCATAGCCTTTTTGCCTCTTCTGCTCTCTTTTGTGCTTCCTCATTTTCTCCTTGCAAAATCTCCTTCATAGCCATGATCTCCTAGAGGATGGGATTGTTGTTTACAACCTTAAGATCCTCCCTCTACAATCCCTTCAACTCTTC